AATTATATATAGGAAAAAAACTATTTCAGTACATCATAGTTTTAAAAGAAATTTTTCTACAAGAGTACTTAGAGCTCAATTGATTTTTTTTAACCATTTTTTTAACTAGATTAGTTAGTTAAATAGGAAATCATTTAAACAGCCTAAGATATCAATGTAAAATTTAGTTTAGTATACTTCGACCAGAAATATAGTGTTTTCACAACCGATCCAGTGATTAACTTTGCCTACTGTTTCCGCAGCCCCTTATAGAACACCCTGCCCAGCAGACCCCTACCCATGACCATTCCAGGACCGTCCTAGGAATTTATTAGTACAAAGTAACAATTTACTACGTTCTATTTCAATAGATTTCTACATAGTATAATTATTAATATACATAATATTAAATTTAATAATAATAATATAATAAAGAATCGTCACTATCGCTACTGTCGTCACCTAGTTCCCGATCAACTCAGCCACTAATAATTTAGAATAAATATTTTCTTATTTTAGTACTCGTTTTTCATAGTTAGACCAGCTTTGTACTGATATTTTAGCTACCTCTTGCCAAATTACGTTTATGGTACTATCACTAAATTTTGGTGCAGTGTTATACATACATATCGCCTGATGTTAAAATAAACAATTATTTGAAAATACCCCGGAGCATCAATGCTTAATTAAATTTAAAACGGTTGATTTACGTTTCAAATAAAAATTTCAAGTTTCTACAAATATTCGTTACGGTCCATATCAGGCAAGACCTACTTAATGCAGAATAAATTTCTGTTGGGATGGGTTTTGCCACGGTCCTGCGAAGTTTTGCAGTTAAGGTACTGTAAAATACTTAAAACGTCAAAGCAATAAATGCACTATATTTTTGGTCGTATTATACTATTGTTTTCTTGTAGATCCCATAAAACGGAGCGTTTCCTATGAAAACTGAACCACATACAAAACCTGTTGCCGCATATTGGTACGTTTTGAATATGACCCATATTTAAAGGCGACCGATACCGTTAGTTACATAATTCCCCATAAACGAACCATATCTAACGTAATAAATCAACCACTGACAACATTAAGATCTAAGGCAAAGATCGATACCTCTGAGTTGTTGCTCAGCCGCCCATTTTCGTTTAATTTTAAATTATACTCTCATCTGATTTATAGCCATAAACTGAAAAAGGGTAGTTAAAGGTAACGGTGTCTGCCTCATAAAATCCTCTTGATCGCCGTATGTTTTTTTTGTTTGTTGACTGTGGCGCTGTATTCGCGAATGGCTGGCTAATCGACGACATTAAACGACTAAACCACATTTCAGCGCTTGTTGGTAAATTATTGACATCATGCTCAGAGCCGTTGGCTTTAGATTTGATACTTTTTGACCATACCGTAGTGGAAAAGCTTTTGATCAAAATTTATATATTGTACATTTGCTTTGTCAAATACTGGATGAAGTTGTTTACTGAACCGTGTCGTTAACTACAGATTGGGAACGGATAATTATTTCTTGGAAAAACCAAAGCTTCCAACCAAATTTGAATAAAAAATACATAACTAATCACAAATAATTGCATAAAACAAACCCATATTCACAGCACAATGCCCAGTACTAATGTATTGGGTTTTTAATATTTCGATCTTGATATTGAAATTAGCTTTAAGATTTATACAGAGACCACCAATTTAAAGTTTTAACCTTATACTTTCACCCACTTCCTCCTAAATGACGAAGCACCTGTACCGGATATCCTTAGTAGATTGTCAAATTGTTGAAACCTAGAGACAAAAAACAAGGTACGCCTTTTGTTTACTCAACGATGGCAGCATTTTTGGAAGTATTTTTAGGATTTATAGGATCATGTTTCAACCAAACAATCATTTCGCTATTCCTATGTTATTTTTGCTTGCTTTATGGAACTCTTGGATGAATATCCTAAAAATGTTTTCCTACAACTCGTGCCGAATTCATTTATTGATTCAATTCCAAATGGTGTTTTAACAAAAAAAATCTTACGGAACTAAAGTGACCACTAACAAAAACTAAGCTATACTTAAAGATGTTCATTGCTATATGTATATTTTCTGGAATTCTTTTTTGTGTAGAACTCTTCAAAGATCAATCTGCCATTATCATCGCTTCTGCCAAACTTTGCTAAATATATAAATCCACGAATATTTCGGCGAAATTTACTTTAGTTAAAATGCACGTGAAAGTCTTTTTTGCAGGAAACAATAGACTAAGAATAATATTTTAACGGTTTCAGGTAACTTCTAAGAAAAATTTCATCTCGGAAACACAATTGTTAACAAGTACTGCACAAAAATGTCAACGCAGTTAGGTTTTCCGAGAACGTCACAGTTGAGCAAAATGAAGGAAGTGACTTCAATAAAGCGCGTTTCTATCAAACTTCATTATGTGGTACAGAACTAATTAGATCGCCTACCGTCACAGCTGATCCTCTGCAGTAGGTCGATTCTTCGAAGCAGTTGAAGATCGCCGATTGTGACGTTGCCACGTTTAGTTTGAAAATTGTCTGTCACAAGATGGCCTCGTGGTATCTAACTTCAACCCCTCCTGAAATTAATTCCTACGTTACTATTTAAAATGCTTACTAATTACTCACTTCAAACAGTCAACACGCTCTGCCATCAATAGTGGGAAGCAAATAGTTTCATGGCGGACCTAAAAGTAACAAACGTTGGATCAGTTTGCGGATTATCAAAACCACAAATAATCGGTTTGATTGATTTAATCGCTAGGACTAAGTTTGAAATAATCATTTCTCGTCCTAACCCTCATTAATTTGTCTATGTCTGCCTCAGCTAGCATCTCTGAGTTGGGATAAAGCAAACACCAACCGGTAATTTATACGATCGTCACTCATCCTTCAGAGGTAATTGAAACCAATAATAATAGTACGATAAGTTATAATTAATATTTGAAATAGTTAACAGGCAAGGGTGTGTTATTAAAAATCAATAATCCACTCCCAATGTGCTAATGTCAGTCAAAATATTTTTGTACTTTGACCATGTATTGAAATTATTGTCAAGTCTCGATTGGAACGTATTTTAATTACTGGCCAGGTATAAGCGTGATCGTTCGATGACGGTTTTTCGGCTGGTTGAAACTAACATATTGTCATTACGCTAGAATTAAAGTAGTGAGAGTATTAGCCATTTAATTTTATTTGTTTTAATATCTAATTTGCCATCCCATCGTCAAAACCGCTATGGTGTGTTGGCACTCACAAAGTACAGGCCATTTACTGACACCGAATTGGTCTTTCTTAAAGATAAGAGGAGGTACTTCACCCTCTTTAATCACAGTTTTTTCCACTCGGTGACTATAAGCATGCAAGTTAATTATCTGATTAGTTTCAAAAGTAATGAGAAAATGCTAAATAATACTAAATAATAATAAAATAATAATAAAAACTTGTTTTCATACTTATATTACGATAGCGCCATTATTTTTTCGATATTAGCATTATTCAAAGATGCTAGAGGGTGTTCAAAATAAACGAATATATTTGGATCATTTTAAATTTTAAAAATCTCAATTTCTTAAATGGCACACCCTATATATTATTTGCATTATGAAAGATCTTGCAAAAATCTACACCTCTTATTGAGTATTTCCTATACCCATTTTTAATGCTTTGCGATTTATTTCTACTTTTCCTTTCCTTTCGTCCTTCCGCCTAAGACTATTGCTATAATATTATCTGGCTATGAAAAATAACATTGAAAAATAAACTCATAAAATGTATTGTGGTGTCCGTAAATTAATGCAATTCCCCCTTTTTTTAGGAAACAGATGCACATTGGCAACGTTGCCACCGCAGTTATTCATGATTCAGGAAGTGCACGCAGAGGGACAGCTATTTACAGTTAGACAGATCCAGTCGTCCTTGGATTCGACTTGAATAAAATGCACTGCTAGACGTACGTGCTGAACTAAATTTAAATAGATTTCGAAACGACTCAAGCTGAAACGTTCTTCTAAAAATTAAGCTTAAGTGTTATGGATCAATTTTTTGGTTTTTACAATATGTACAAACTGACCTGCTAGTAGTTGTGGTTCAAAATGCTGTAGGTTTTAAAAGTTTGCTAAATGGATTGATTATATAAATTCGTTATTGGAAATAAACGAGATATAAATTCCAATAATATGTTGCGTTAATTGTCCAGATAATTCACACAAATATTTCGTTCGCAATTCCAGAAGGCACTAAGCATTACCCTTTCAAGCGCTTTTAATGGGCGTCCTTTTTGCACGTTTGCGTCATTTCTTAGATTGACTTTTGGTCTCACGATTGAAATAAGGAATCCGCGTTTCGTCAGTGGTTATTGACGACAAGTATCAGATCGAGTGAGTTTCTGTTCTAGTATCAAAACCAAACATCCCTGGTATCTTATGCTGGACCCTAGCGCCATACGCATTGAACCCATCAAGGAGTCATTAGGCAGGGCTGGGCCAGGAAGTGGTCAGGCAGAAACAAATTCGTTGATACGAACTAGACCAATATACGTAGATGCCGTTAGGCAGTTGTGATTCGGCAATGGTCGGAATTAATGACATTGATTAATTGTTAATTAAACATTTAAGAATGATTCTCTGTACTGATTGTAATGCATCAAAACTATTAGTTAGTTTTGGTTAGTCTAAAAAAGGTTAAGCTATCCGAAAAAAAAAAGACGTCGGTCTTATAGGCGTGTGAATGAACATTATTTTACAGCTATAAAGTGTTTACGGAGTGTCAACGGAATTTTTGATAAAAATGTTATACATGCAATCTCAACGCTTAGGGTTGAAAATGTTTAAAATGTTGAAAATGTAATGACACTGTATATTGTCTAGTTTTACGAGAATTCATTCACCAAATAGTAAGCCATGTTAGCAATGCTAAATTGACATAGTATAACTAAATCCAGTTAATTGTCTAATTTAGCAAATCTGGCTTTTATGTAATGGAATTATTAAATTATCGTGTTTTTTTTTTCAGGCGGTAAGTGGTCAGACCCAATCCAAAGTTCGAAGGTAAAGAGAGTGCTTGTAATTAGGACCTGGCCTATCGGATGACCTACAATGTTCAGTTCAGGTCAGTGATCATATCATTATTTGCCGTAAAATTACGCAAACACAAAAGCCTTAAGATATTCTCACTGGTCAAATGCTTTGGGACACAGAACTAATTTTGACTTTGTGTATCTCTATGATTTGCTTTCATTTCCTTTAATAAGTCTAGAAAAGTTTTCCAGACTACCTTGTAAATGTCACCTTTACAGACCATAGTCTTATGTCTTTCCTAAACAATGTTTATGTAAATTGCAAGTGCAAATAAATGTCTTGGACTTCCATTGCCTTGATTATTTACTTCAAGATGTAAGAATACAGTATTCACCTTAAGACGACTCTAAACATTTGACCAGTCGAAACTTCAAAATACCTAGTTTAATCAACATTTTCAATTGCCTATGACAATCCAACAAACACATTTATACATGCATATAGTCCGTTATAGTATATTATGCAACAAGTGCGGTAAACGGCATTTGACTCAGGAGTTTCTTGACACGAGCGGAGCGCAGCGGATCCAGTGTTTAATAAACGAGTGACTTATAGTATATTATGCATGTATATTTGACTCACTAGTTTATTTGACACGAGCGGAGCGAGTTTTTAATAAACCAGTGAGTTAAAAAGCTGTGTTGCATATTATACTTTTTCTACCACCGTCAGTTTTTGGATACATTTTCGCAAAACAACACAAATACATTTACTGACATGACCGCCAGAATTGACAAACGTCAAAATTCAAAGCGTGGGAAATATCTCCGAAATCATCCGATTGCTTCCAAATCCGCACGATAAAATCCCGGAAATGTCCGAAGTGGCTCGGATTCATGGGAAACGAAACTGACATGGTAAAGTGACGCTTCCCGCGCGCTAGATCGGTGTTTAATTAGGTATTTTACAGACGGCAGTAGAAAAAATATTTTGTAATAAATTGCTTTGCGGTTGGAGACCCTGGATAACGACAGTTTCGCAAGCTTGCATACTTGGGTATTTTAGAGTAGGAAGTAAAAAAACATTATTATTATTATTATTATTGTACAGATGGACCAATATACATGATGATATCGATGATAATACTTTAATATAATATTTTTCAGAAATGTCTATCCTGCCATCCACTGTGACTGAGCCATTTTTATCGCTCAAGTTAAATGTTTGTGGAGAGTTGTTTCCTTTACCAACTGAAGAAAAAGATTATCAGATATTTTTTAAGTTCTCTGTTGTCTCTCTAACCTACGAAAATAATCTATTTCCGAGCTCCCACCATTAGGATTTCGAAGTATGTAAATTCTAGTTCAATTTGGTAGATGTGTGAATGTTTGGTTAAAGTTGGTGGAGGACGTCCATTATTTCAACAATTTAACATTTCCCATCTCGCTTAACGGTGATATACAGTAACCCTTTCAAACACGTCACTGTGACCGCCTTTTGCTTTCAAAAATTCAGTATTCCCACTGACGCCTTATCGTCACAAAGAAACTTCAGGTTTTTCTTCAGTGACGCTCATTACGAAAGTAAGCCATCTGATAAACCAATGAAATGTGGGTGCTTAAGTGGTTGATGTCGCGTATACCTTGCGATAACCTTCGACAAAAAATTAATGATTTTTAAAGTCAATGTTTCGACAAAATAAAGTCTCAACGAGAAATGCAAAATGATGTAGACCACCTACAGCTTCATTATGTATTTGGGTAATGCTTTGTGATCCGTTTCAAAAATGCCTCTTCTTTCTGCGTTTGATAAGTGTGCCTGTCGCGTGGTTACGTGTCATTAGTTAGCGGCCGCGCTTTTTTACAGCCGAACAAATTACAGTCTTCGTGCGCAGTCAGAAATCACCGCTACCTTTTATGTAAAAAGCAGAAAAGGTGTCGGTGTATCGGTAGTGGACAAATAGCGAGTTTCAGCTCGTCTATACTACAGAGGGAGTCGGACTCAACTATTCTGTTATTTCTTTAGTCACGCGATAAGTATCGAATAAATTAATTGCCTTTACTTATTTATTTGCCTATTTACTTACCAGTAACTTAATATGAAACTTCAAAATATCACAAATTTGCTATTTTTACTCATTTTTGGTTTAAGCCGTGCAATGTGGGCCAGGCAGTTCAAGCCATATTCAATTTAAGTCTGGATATTTCTAAGCGATACTTTTATTAAATATTGCTAAAGTCGTAAGTGCTGAAGTGAGAGATAACAAATCGTAATTTACACAATTTTATATTAGAAAGAAGATTTAATTATATTAGAAATATTCTGTTATTACCACAAAACGCAATTAATTTATTTGACATTTCCGTTGCAGGTGCCATAAAAATAATCTCAGAAGATATTTTATGATACTCAATTAAACAGTTAGAGACCAGATGTTGATTTTAGGACACTCGTAAAATATAATTATCAAAATCCCGCTGGCGAATATTAAAAAAAATCAAAATTAGGCTTTGCATGCACATTTCTAACGTAACGCTACAAACAAGCTTCACTTTGCCGGATGATAAATGGTTTTAAAATTAAAGACTATTTTGTAGCTTCCTTTGTACCTTGCTCACATCTACGTTTTATGGCGGATGTAAGGTTTAATGCTTATGGTAACCCAAATGAATGAATTTCGAGAAGATTGCCTCCTTCGTTTTTTTATTTACTTAAATGGAAAATGATGTATAAAAAATACCGCAAAGAATTAGAAGTGGTTCCAAAAATTGCGCTACTTATACGTTATTTTTGTATATATATTTGTTGGGTATGTCAAAGAAATTAACTATTATTATTATTATGAAAATTATTTTCATGGCTACTTGCGAAGAATGATCTTCAGTAGAAGTTGGAATGTGAAAGTTGCAGTCTGAGAGGTCAACCCACTTTTCAGCAACGAGGTTTTAACGAGAGGAAGTTCTGGAGTCCAGAAATTTAAATGTTTAGTTGAAATTTGTATTGGTTTTTTGGCAGTATTTCTAGATTTATGTTTTTCGATAGACCTGGATTTTTTTTCAAGAAAAAAATAATGTTATAATAATCTTACTGATTATGTCCAGCATCAGTTGCTTACTAGAATGCCGTGCTTTATTTGACAGTTCAGTTGCATGTTTTACAAGCACATAAAATATAAATTAGTAGTTGGTAGTAGTAGTAATAGTTATAGTAATAGTTGATGGAATTCGAAGGACTTTAATTATGTATCTATGTATTCCATTCTATCAAAATAAAAGATGAAAGCTAGGCATTTATTAAACACCCTTTATAATTGCACATATATTAAAAATATTTAGTATTATAACGAATATTGCACTGAAGTTTCCGTTCCATTTATTTTGTATTTTTTTGCTTCATTTTATATTTTTGCAATTCCGTCTCAATATTAGATAAAAATATATACTTGAAAGACATATACTAAATTTAAGAGCTTATTCGTGGATAAAGTAAAAAAGCTTTATAAACCTAGCCTAAAAAATATGGCTTTCAAGATTTCCAAGTTTCTTTTTTAAAACAAACATACATTTGCCCATAACATCCATACTCATCCTACCAACGAACAAAATTACTTTGATTTATTTTAATATTGTGTGATTTTTTAATATTGTGTGATTTTTGTTTTGTTAGTTCGTAACCGATTTTTTTTTGAATATTTTGAAAATGACTCATACTCCAAAAATATCAAGTTAGGCTCTAATTTCGTCCATAACTTTTTGAGTCGTTTTGTACTAAAACATGAAAAGCACAAGTCACCACGTGGCCGATATAAAGATACTTCTGTTAAAACATGTATTATATCGCATATCTCTTCTAAGAACTAATTTTGATAAGCACATAACACAATGCACGTACGACTTTTTCTATCGAACGAAATAATTAAATCGTTAAAAAGGTTTTAATTGTACTATTATTAAATAACTTTGCCATCGATTCCTACGATCTTCAAACAAAACGTTGCCGTTAATTAAGTAGCTGATTGACTGTTATTAAAATCGAGATAACTGACCCGATTTCTTTTAAGAAATTGGCGTGGTCAACCTGCACGATTTTTCCTGGTGCGATGTTTTTATACTTTCTTCGTTCGTTCGTCTCACTTAAGCGCGAACAATGGTGCTCGCAGGTGGTCGATAAGTTCAACGTTCTAATTAATTACGACCCGAAGAGACAGCGGGGTTTCTGTCATTGACAACCTATTGGTGTGGCTGTCAACATAAAAACGCTAAGTCAAATAATACATAATAATACATAATAATAATATGAAAAAAATTTGAGATGTTTGGATGCCTAATAACAACGCAGATGTTCCTAAAATAGGTGAAAGCCATCTGAGAATCGTCAAATTATCGCGAAAACAGGACGCACATAAAGTTTTAAAATCATCAAGATTTAGCATCGTTTACTTACAAAATTACAATATTCCTTCAAAATGTCTAAATAGAATCATCGAATCATCGAATCATCGAATTATGCATAGTAATGTGCAAATTTGCCTCCACCTCTCAATGGGTGCCATGAATCTTCCCAACATGACCAAACAAGTTGTTGTAATTATCAGTGCACTATTCTATACGAGGTGTGTTCAAAAAGTAAGGTGACTTTTGTAATTGGGCGGGCTACGTACATTCGATCTTCAATATTTTGTTATTGTTGTTATGTTTGCACATTTACTAATTTTGTGAGACGTGTTTTGGTTATTATGTGCTCGCCGATTTTCTGCTGATAAAAAACAAATGAAAGCGTTGAAAAAGTAAAACAAATGGTGTTCAAACTGCTTAATTTCGAACAAAAGGACGGTCGAAGGAGCATCGCTGTTAAACGACGTCAATGATGGTCCTCATAACTGGTGACAAATCGTGGGTATAATGGAAGAACCCAGAATCGCCAAGACCGAAAAAATCACCTCAAATTAAAGCAATACGAAGAAAACTTCCGGAATTCATGGATTTTGCATCACGATCATGCACCTGCTCACTCATCGTTGCTTGTATCTAACTTTTTGGAAAAAAACAAAACCAGAATCCTGCCTCAGCCACCATATTCATCGGATATAGC